CCAAACCCTAAACCCTAAGCCCTAAACCCTCAACCCTAAACCCTAAGCACTAAACCCTAAACCCTTAACCCTAAACCCTAAATCCTAAACCCTAAACCCTAAGCCCTAAACCCTAAACCCTGAACTCCTGCACTATGCGTTTGACGACCCTGCAGTCGACTCTGCGCCGACCGTGGAGCTGACGGGCACGACCGGGCTTGGGGTTTAGGGACTTATCCGGTTCCCTGTGGAGTCAAAACATGATGTTTGTACCATCCTTGTTGGGCTTAGGGTTTCGGGTTTAGGGTTAAAAAAATATGTCAAGTTGTAGCCAACAAGGAGCCAGTTCTGTGTGGGGGCTTCGAAACCCTGAACGCCACGCCCTGGGGTTCAATCTCCTTTCTCCATGGAGGCTCAAGTTCATTGTGGAGTTTACAGTGTCAAACCCTAAACCCTAAACCGTCCAAGCTCAGAAAGAGATCTCGTGTCGAATTTCGATACGATCTTGAAGCTTCCAGAATGCCGACCCTCCTCTCTGCTGCGCGTCCGCTGACCCCCGAACACCAGACCCGGTTTAGGGTTTAGGTTTAGGGTTTGGGGATTTAAGGGTTTACACTCTCACAACTCGGGCAAGCCAGGCGAGGATCCAGGGTTTCGGGTTTAGGGTTTTGGGTACCAAACCCGACGCCTTGCATGTGGCCAATGCAGCCGTCAGAGAAACAAAACTAAACGTGAAGCCCAAATCCCACATGAAAAAACCCTCATACACAGGACATACCCTGAAACTTCAACCCTATGCCTTAAGCCCTATGCCTAAACTCTGAACTCGACACCCACACCATATCCCAACCCGAAACTTTAAATTCTATAAGCCCTAAGCTCGAAGCCCTAGAACCTAAACTCTAAGCCTGAGGCCTAGAGCCAGCAAGGGAAATCCCAGAAAATCAGAGGACCTCACGTCGAACCCTCGGTAATTATGCTCTGAAGCCATTCAAATCTAAAACTTTACAAACCCTATAAAACCCTGAAGCCTATGAACCCTTCTAAACCCGTTACGGGTTTAGAGGCTCCTGATCTTGAGCATGGCGACTTCTAGCCCGGGCATCAGCCTTTACAAACGCGCAAAACTCTGACAATATACAACTTGTTGTGAAAAACTAGTACGCTCTAATTACCCCTCATGTTTGTCAAACCTTGAAAGAGCCCTTTGACAAAAACACCTAGTGCCATGGGACCAACACTATTAAAATCTCTGCAAACCCTATAAAACCTTAAAGCCTGTGACCCCTTAAGATCCTTAAACCCTATAAAACCTTAAAGCCTGTGACCCCTTAAGATCCTTGCAAACCCTATAAAACCTTAAAGCCTGTGATCCCCCTTAAAACCCATTACAAAAGCTCCTAATAGCCAGTGGCAAGCCGCGGTCCGAAGGCGTAGCGCCGGATCGTCTGCACACGCATGCCGTGCGCATCCAAAAGCCTTGGCTGACAGAGATATGGTTGATGGACAAAATCCTGCATGACCTTATATACCTGAACTATGGGATTTATGGTACTATACTATATTTCGGTCATGTAGACTTTTGTCCATCAACAGTATGGCTGACTAGGGTCTATGGGGCATTAATTAGACTAGCTTATGCAGCAAAGGGTTACAGGGTTTTACACGGTCCTATCCGGCTTTTTTCATTAAAGGCTGCGGGCTGTAGAACTGCCTCGCAAGGTTTTAGCGGGGTTTCGGTTTCAAGTTAGGGCTTGAAGCTTTTTTGTCACCGCCATGCACGCATGTATGATGCAAGTTTTGGCCTGCCCAACCGGGTCTCGCAGACTGTTGCCGTGCTGGACTAGAATAATGTTCTGAACGCATTGTTCTCCCAAGGGTCCATGTTCCCAAATACCATACTTTGGCCCCAAAGTACCTATATAGGCACGACTTTGAGGCCAAAGTATATACTATTTGGGTACACGGACCCTTAGGGCTCGTTTTCCCCAGAAACCTGCTTAGCTGCCTACTTGCGCGTGGTGTGGCCCCGTACCCAGACTTCAACAATGTGTCTATGCCTATATTCGATACGGGAACTGCATTCCTTTTCTTCTGCCTGGGGCCTGTATTCTATCGTTAAAGGGTAGCAAAACACCACGTTATGCAGAGGGTCTTCCCGGGTTCCCAGAGACTCCAATATCCCTTAATTTTAAGGAATATACTTTAAATTATACTAGGATCCCTAATATGATCTAAGGTTTCTTCCCTAATTAGGGGATATTGGAGTCTCTGGGTTGTTTGGGGTGCGAGGTTTTGGCCCCACGCAGGGCTCATGGGATTTGGCTGTCTGAGGCTGGGAAACTCAGGGAGTTGCGCGCTTCGGTTAGGAATTAGTGTTTGGGTCAGAGTTTGAGGGTCTAGACGGTTTAGGGTTTAGGGGTTTAGGCCCTAGGCCCTAAGCCGTAGATCACCTAAACTAAACACTGCGGGTAGACATTTTGGGGTTTGGGATCGCTAGAGCTCCTCCGGGGCTTTCCGGAGCTGGGTGCAGGGAAGAACTTCCTTGCTTCTGGTGGTCTTAGCAACTTAAAGTTTAAAGGTTTTCGGGGGTTTTAAGGGTTCGGGGGGTTTTGGGGTTTACGGATTTAGGGTTTATTAGTTGATGAAGGTTCAGGGTTCAGGGTTTAGTGCGTAGACTACCAGAAGCTCCGTGGTGAGACCAGGCCCCAACATGAAGATGAAAACTCAGAATGCCTGCCAGACCAGATCAACATACTATAGGGGCCTTAATAATCAAAATAGGGTTTTGGGGGTTAGTAAATATAATTATAGTATAACATACCTACAAACCCTATTCTGATGATTAAGGCCCCTATATTACTCCATCGTCCACAAGGATCACGAAAACAGGCTGCAACTCGCAGCTGCTATGTAATCAGTGTCGAAAGCCTTCGGCCCCCGGCCTTACCGAAACCGTCAACTCCAGACCCTAAACCTGGTCCAGACCAGCAAAAAGACCCCAACAGATCAGGGTTTAGGGGTTTAGGGTTTAGGGTTCAGGGTTTAGGGTTTAGGGTTTGGGGTTTAGGTTTCCTTTCTGACTGACACCCTTGATTCATTGATGGTAAACATCTGCCGCGCCCATAGGATGCTATAATGGCCTTGGCAACCCCTGCAGAGTCCAGAACTCCCCCCTGAGATCTCTAGGTTTGGAGTTTAAGGGTTTAGGGTTTAGGGTTTAGGGTTTAGGGTTTAGGGTTTAGGGGTTATTATCAGTAGGGTTATAAGTAGGGTAACTATACTTAGAACAGTACTTAGGGGACTTATAGCCCCGCATGTAACTACCCATGAACCTCCAAGTAGGATGTCCTGAGACATGAAGTCGCGAACCTAAAACCTACAACTGCTGTCTGGTGCTTAGCAGGGAATGGGGGAATGGATCCTTATGATAGTCCCTTAAGGCCCCCATTCCCTACGAAGCACCAGACAGGCTGCCGACACCCTAAACCACGAACCTTCTTGTGCAAACCCTGACAGGGATTGGACAGAAACGGTGCCATTACATACCGAAGCTCCCATACCCTAAACCCTTTCCACACAGACTTGGTTGGTGCTCGCCCGACCAGGTTCCCCACAGCACATCGAATACCTTAAACCCTAAACCCTAAACCCTAAACTCTAAATTCTAAACCCTAAACCCCAAACCCTAAACCCTAAACCCTAAACCCCTAAACCCTTAAACCCTAGAACCTTTTACCCTAAACCCTAAACCCCAAACCCCAAACATCCAACCGAAACTCAATTGCCGGCACAGGTGGCATGTCGATCGGCCGCTCGGGCGACTCCACATACTTCACCTCCGCACCCCAAACCCTGGAAGTTCTGTCTGGTGCTTAGTAGGGAATGGGAGAATGGGTTATAGGGACCACTACAAGGGACCTTAAGGGACTATCATAAAGATCCATTCCACCATTCCCTGCTAAGCACCAGACAGTCAAGCCCTGGATGCTAAGACTCAGAGGTTTTGAAGGTTGATGGGTTTAGGGTCAGTGTTTAAGGTTGAGGGCTTAGGGTATTTGATTTAGGTTGACGGTTTAGGGTTTAGGGTTGAGTGTTTAGGGTTTAAGTTTAGGGTTGAGGGCTTAGGGTATTTAAGTTTAGGATTTAGGGTTGAGTGTTTATATAAGTTTAGGGTTGAGGGCTTAGGGCCTACATCCACACCCCAAGGCTCTGAATTTCAAAGGCGTGAATCCTAAACACTCAGTCCTATCTAACCTTCCTAAACCCTACCCATAGGCCCCATAGTACTTCCTTGTGGGATTACCTAATATCCTAAATATGAGCCACAAACAAAACCTATTATGGGGCCCATGGGTAGCTTTGATAGTATTGGCAGCGACGAAAGATAAGACAGGGGTTTGGGGTTCGGGGGATAGAATCGCTACACTCCCACAGCCCTTCGTATCTTATAAGCCGGGTCTGAAGTTGAAGTGCCTAAAAGACCCCAGACCATCCAACCTAATCATACGGTGCTGCATGCACATAGGGTATGGGATGTTTAGGATGTGTCGATTTTTTCAGACCTGCTACAAGTAAAACACTTTGCCCAGCCAAGTCGCCCGCAACTTGCTTGTGGCGCCCGTGCGCTTTGTCATGCTGCACCACACCTAGGGTGTGTTGCCCGCAACCACGTTCTGGGATCTGTGATCTTTACAGTATGTGCCGTGTTGCTTCATTGCAAACGGATCTGTCTACGAATCATTCTGGCGTGTGAACAACAGGTGCAGGCACTGCTTCGGCTGCAGAGTGAGCTATACCGGTTCTCCGAACTCCTGGCTTCTACCATGCCCACATCCTCAGACTTTAAGGTGAGGGCCGCTTGTGTGCGCATATACAATGGTTGCAGGAGGAACGAACGGACCCTTCCAAATAGGAATTTTGCCGGAGGCTGTATACTCCGTTGGTCATCATGAACCCTAAGGAAACATAGTAGTTAGTAGTACGAGTTTTTCAGGCTCTTGTGTTCTTGAACGTTTACATCCAAGGTGCTCGTCCATACCTCACGCCGCCGGCCTTTGCACCGGTTCGCCACTTGTGGAGGAGCTCCACCGGAGGATCACCTGGAGTTTGGGATCTACGGAACATGCTCTAGAAAAATTGGGGGCAGTGGGAGGGGCGGGCGGAATCCTTACTCTGACCAAACCCTGCACCCTTCTCAGCTGGGCTCTCCTCAACCCTAAGCCCTTGTTTTCTAAACCTTTGCACCCTTTTGCACCAGACTATTGAACCCTAAACCTTCAAACGAAATCCTGAAGTGGAGGAGTCCAATGGGGTTGAGGGCTTTAGGGTTTACTGGGCAGGTGGCAGCCACAAGCCTCGAGATGAATCCATCGAGCGAAAAGCTGTCAGTGCTCACCGGTGTGCACAAGCTCTTACTTGTCCAGTATCCTAGTTGAAGTGAAGGTTAACCCTTGGGATTATATAGGGATTGTAGTACCCCAAAAAGGTTAAAGGTCTCCGGCTCTCTTGGCTCTAGACAAGGTTTATCGCAGCACGAACCTGTGCAAAAAAAATGAATACCCGACACGAAAACGCTTTCCTTCCCAATCGATTTTCGTTAATTTCGCAGCAGGACGTACTCATGGAAGCAAACTAGGACGGTGGTAAGTAGAGTCATCACAGAACTGCTGTCATGATCAAACCTATTACATTGGTTCTATGGTCCCGGATGCTTGCAAGCAACTCCCGTGCTGCTGGCTCTAAACCCTAAACTCTTTACTTAAGCTCCTGAACCCCTGCGCTGAACCCCTGCGCGGTGTCTTTTGGGGCCTTGGATCTTAACGTCGTAGGCGGACAGGATGTTGCCCTCGGCACCTGCAAGCCCTTATAGGAACCCTTACAGAAATTATATTGAAAACTCTATGTCCGCGAAATAACAAGCCCGAAGCCTACCGGAGCGACAATGAGTACGGCGTCAAACCCCAGCTACTGTAATGCAATGTGGGGGCCTGTATAATTAGAATAGGTTTTGGGGGTATTTTGCTATAATCAGCATGAGGAACCCCCAAAAAATAATATTGGTAA